AATACTGAGCGGAGATCAGATGCTTGCGGAGCTCTGATTAGGAATCCGTTTCGCAGGAATGTTGTCTCCCTCGATCGTTTCTCCCCGCCAGCTAAAATACTTCCATCCGACTTGCCATGGCGAGGCCTTTTGTTTGCATCCGAGCTCGAAATGGAAATCGATTCTCACAGGAACTTGAGAAAGTCAAAGTCGGGAATTTCAAGTGATGCTTTTTCCGATTCGGGTCTCCGTGAGCTCGGCCACGTAGCACGTACCCTCCACCCGCTGAGTCGGGAGCGACGGAATGAGAGAGCTAAGGAGTTACTCTTCTGCTCCTGCTACTGACAAATGTCATCTCCATCGGATGACAGAAGCACAAGAGTTCCATCGGATCTCTTTTCCTCTTCTCACGCGGCGAGCTTCTTTTGTCGCCTCCTTGCTCATTCTCACATCCAGTGGCTCCAGCTCAATGTCATCTCGATCCTACTCTGCTGAATATGCCTTGACATAGTCGCAGAGGAGATTGCTTTGAACCTATTTGTCCGTGTCAAGACAGTGACACGCTCTCCTACCGTGACTTCGAGCCAGCAATTTCCAGATCAATTATGCGAAGTAGCGGTAAAGACGAATTCCGTTCGACTCAACCCCATCACGAGAAAGTCTTCGGGCAATCGGATTCGTACTGAGGAGTCTCCGGAGCATAGATGTTTGACGCAGAGTTACAATCACAATATTCTTGAGCATGAGGCAGTCATCCGCGTCTCCCTGTGGTTTTGTCACCTCGGTCCCCTAGTTTCAACAGCCGCTCCGAGAGACATGAACAAGATGGGCGATTGTATTGCGTATACACACACTCCAAAACTGAGGTCGACAGTGTTGATATCCGGCTAGCTGTGAACACGAGTTCTAATGAAGTTGGGAATACATATGAGGGATTGATCTGCTGCTCGGCTCAGCATATCTCCTCTCCATATCACTCAGGGAGACGTATCAGTAATTCGAAGCTTTGCCTCTTCCGCCTCTATCCAGTCGACTCATGTGAGGAATTATGCCGAGAATTCTATTCATCGGAAGGGTATTGCAGAAGCCGCCTACATACTCCAGCTCACGGAGCCATATTATTGCGGAAGGGAGCCGTCTTGCTCAACCAGACCTCTTCTCTCTTCCCGGTTTCCCTTTTCTAGGCGAAAGGAAGTCTATATGAGAACTCCTCCGCCTATACATGCTCATTTGCTCGCGCTCAGCCATGCTTTTTGTACGGAAAGATGGATTTTTCGAGGAGTTGCTGATTTAGGCTCATAATTCCGCGTCGTTCTCCACGTAGAATTCGTTCAGTGGCTGGCTGGTGCGGAATCGAGGAATAAATATCAGAAAGGTCCGTCCTTCCGCGCGCTCATCGTAAACGACACTGAAGGAGACGGCTTTCAGCCGGGTCACACGGCTCGATTCGCGTCCACGTCCTGACATTTTTCTGTGCCGCCACAACCGATAATCACAGACGAGTATCGGTAAAGAAATTTAGCCTCTTTTGAATATGCTCCGACCGCGACCACCACTCCTGCTCCTGCCAACCACAGGCCCGTTCAGCCCGCGATGTGGCTGCGAAGCTTCTGGGATCGATCGACGTGGAGCTTCTGGTCGGCGATCGGCCTATCAGAGGCTACGAATTCTTTCTTCTCAACCGACACAGGACGTAGGTACCCTCTTCATCCACCGTCGTGGGGGGTTTGTGTCAGCTTTGCCTGAGTGAGTTGATTTCCTCATTAATGGGGAAGACCGCACATATTTGAAAGGCTCCGCTTCGGAGTGAGACCTAGAGGTATCGAGGATAGAATCAGAATCATTTCGAGCATAATCAGGAGCCTCCGGTCGAACCCAAGTCGGAGTCAGAGTCTCCCACGTCTCAATCGGTTCACGCTGATAGAGGATTCGGAAATGCTCGACCCGAGGGAAATAGTAGCTGATTGTGACCCTTCCCACCGGTAATCGACCCCATTGTGTTTTACAGGAACGGATTTCCTCTGCGTTGTTTTCGCGACCCGGCTGCGGATAAGTTATGCCTCGGACACACTATTAGAGCGAGGTGTTCGATTACCGCATGCGCTTCGCCCTTACGGAACGGCAACAGCTCTTCTCTGTCAGAGACACAATAGGTTATCACGGGAGGGTTCTCTGTATTCGCCGATAGCGGTGCAATCGCGAGAGCTTTAGGAAGCCCCCGGACTGTGCATGGCGTCGAGCTCACCACTCCATCCTCAGATCTCGACTTTCAACCAAGCTGACCGCGAATCACCGGCGATTTTTGCAGGCTGTGCACATGAATCGACGGAAGCGAATTGAAGCTGAAGATAGATAGTAATCATCGCTTTACCCTCAATATCTTCCTAATCATTTCGAATAATCGCCCTGTCTAATCCGCTGATTGAATGTCGCGAATATCGTCCCAGAGGTTTAGCTTGAGAGTTGATGTGGCACCGTCTTGCGCACTGAGCACCCTGCCTCCGATGTTGTGGAGATTGCGATTTTACCTGAGCTCGACAACCTCGCAATCTTAACCCAGGTGATGAGCACGGAAGGGGACATGGGGGACGATTCGGAGGGGGAGGGAGGTTGGGTAACTGGAATAATTTCTCTGAAGGTAAGGCCTCGAATTCGACGCACGGATACCGAATGGCCTTGGGAAGGAACGGCGAAGGGCGTAAAGATTGGCACAAAGATCGGATGACTGGATACATGGCCGGTTGGAGGAAGGGACAGCTAGTCAGTCGTCGATGTCTTATACGTGACCTCAATTCCTTGCTTGAACGAATGCCCAGCGGAGCCGACGTAGATTCAATTTTGACAGCGTGAGGTATTCGACGATCGACATCGCGCCTCCCAATCGTGACGGCTGATCGCTTCTTTGTCGTTCATCGAGATGAAACTGGATCAGACCGTCCCTTCCTTATTCTGGACGGCCTCTCGCGACCTAATGTGCCCCGTACGATGAGGGAAAGTCCAAGCAAGTGATCGGGGTAAATAATTAGAGATTCCGGTGCCCTTGTTTCGAAACCAGTATCTTTGTCGATCGAAGAGTCGAATTACATCGACCCTCACTGGGATCCCGAGTCTCTTGCGAGTTCCCCAGGCGGATATTAATTGAAGTAATCCCTCAGAAAGTCCCGAAAGGGTTTCAGCGGGGAAAGCTATTGACTCTTCCGATAGCTTGATGGATCGCTGAGCGGAAGCGATTCGTGATCGCAACCCTAGTTGGAAGCTGTCGATTTTAGTCCGATCTCAAAATAGGAATAGCGTTCACGCACCGCTCGGGAACGGTCCTTCTCAGAACCCCGAGGGTGGAACAGAGTCACGTCCGCGTCTCAGAATGAGCGTCCATATTCCGTGAGCATAAAAATAAAATCATCGTTGGGACGTCGAGACAAAAAGCTGTAATTAGACTTTGCGCGGGGGAGTCCCGAGGAGTGGGGCACATTACGCTACGGGAGCCATGTCCTCACAAAAGCCTCAGGACAGGTTCATTCTGTTGAGAGACAGGCAAGCGAGGTCTGTTCAGGAAGAGGCGCTCCTGTCGAGAAAATACATTGTCGCGAGCATCGTTTAAGGAGAGATTCTGTACTCATAGATTGAAAACTTTGAGTAAGTAGGTAATTGAAATTCGTAGCTCGCGGCTCGAATGGGATATCGCCCACGGCGTGTCCGGCAATTTTTTTCTCTTCCGCTACCTTATATGCTAACAACATTCAATATGCCTCTCGCAGTTCACGCTACGCGGGCGACGCGCTGGCCAGTCACAGACTGCGTGTAAGAGTCATGAATTTTGCGGTCCGCCGAACCGAATGTGTCATCGAATGTGTTTTTGGAGAATTCGGGGAAGTCTCGTTCATTACTTTCGATCTCGGAAGCTCTGCGGTCCGCTACTTCATAAACTAAATAGTGCAAAGACATCATCGAGGCTTCCGAATATGGATTTTCGTTGCGGAGGCTCCGTTGGAAAGCCTCCGACCACCTATTCCAGTATTTGCGTAATCTGTGATTTTGCGGAGAGCGAAAAGAACTATCTAGTCCAGATCTTATTCGGAGAATAAAATCGATATGGCCCTCTGGACGGCTCAGGTGTTCCATAGACGCCACCGTAGAAACGTGTTCGAACTCCAAAGCGGAAGCTTCCGCAGTTGAGCAACGTCTACTGTGCGGCCATCTTTCACTCGCTTCGCTTCCTCCCGAGAAACAAAATTTGTGTTCGCGATCGGTCTGACAGCTAGAACCCGTGGAGCACAAATCTAGAACAAATACGGACGTCTCGGACGGGTCCCAGCGAGGGTGCCATCCCGAGCGTTTCCAGCTGTGTGCTGCGAGTCAGACACGGAACTGACGTTCTGAATCGATTGATACCGATCAGAAAGGTCTAGTTCCGAAACCGGACGAGTTCGGATGGGTACCTGATATATTGTCCGATTGTGTTCGCTGGTCGAGATATCTGACGCCACCGAGTTTGACGCGTGAGGTGATTCTCGAAGATGAGCCACTCAAGTCCATTGAAGATTGGAAGACCACGACCGTGGAGAGCTTCGATTCTTCGAGGTAGATGAATTCGCTAGGAAACCGGGCGGTGCACTCTAAGAATTCAGTCTACAGATATTCGACGCGAATATCCTAACGATCCGGGAAAACGCTCAAGTTTCTGTCTGTTTATCTCCGTGATCGTCTGTGGATCCGCATCCAGTCGGTCTCGTCTGAAGTCTAGAGTCCTGGGCCGCGTCGAGAAGCCCCCCGCCAAAGTGAGTCGAGAGAGATTTTCCAGATATTCGAGACGCTCTGCTCAAGATCGGATTCCTCGCAGAAGAGAGAGCGCTGCGACGGGAGATCGAAACATTCCGAATCTCAGCGACATCGGCAGCATGAGCACATACGTCTTGTATCTCCCGCATGCTGCGAGGACCGGACCTGGAGCATGAGAGGCTAGCACAGTGCCGCTTTCGTCTGAGCTTGCTTCCGAATAAAAGCTTAGTACTGCCGGACACAGTCCAGTCCCACCATGAACGTCCCCGCTGTCCTCTTAGGTCTCTGCACGCTGCTGACCGTAGCTTCTGCCCAGGGTCCCCCCATCCGCGACGAGTGGAGGAAGGCCGCGCGGGAAGCTTGTGGCGGAAACCTGGAAGCGAGAATCAACACCAGCGCCGTGAGGATTCTCTTTTAGGATTATCCCCCCATATTCTTGAAAAACTTCAGATATCCCCCGTCAAACCCCCGGTCAGATCATTATCAGTCGTGGGCAGATAACGAGGAGTATCCCTGAATCAGAAACCACTTCGCTCCAAAGAAGGCTCTGTACATTTCGACGTTTTCGGAGACTTCCTATGCATATACATTGTTTGTTGCAGCTCGATCAGGAGACGTGTGTCGTTGATTGCGCCAAGGCCGATGGCTCGATCGCGAGGAGAGACGTCCCTCTGAAAGACGGATCCCCCTGCCACAGACACCACATGGTCGCCCCTCCTTTCCCCCTTCTGTTGGGAACGTGCAAGAACAGATACTGTGATGTGAAACTGCCTTGATTCTATTGATTAAAAATCTTTGAAAAGAAGCTCTCTCTCTTCCGTTCACCTTCTGGCGCCATTTCTCAGTGTCGCCCGTAGGTCTTGATGCCGAGGAGGTTCATTCACACACACCGATGCGGTTCCATATTTTTTTACGTCGTTGAATTTCGTCGCAAGGGCCTTCGCCCTCTGATTCGATTCTACTTTCGCTCATCCTGATTGATCCCTGAATCACAACACGCGTTAGCATGGTGGACGTAGCTGATATGACTGCGTGGTAGATGGATGAGCACCGAAGACTTCTCGAAACGATCCAGCTGTGCCCCGTCGAATCATCCAGGTCGTAGCGAGCCTTAGGATCATCTCCGATCACAGCGAGATCCTCATGTTGAGGTAATTGACAAGTGCGCCAGAGCACCTTGACTACCGATGTTTTTATTCTTGACCGGAATTCCCACTAATACCGGATTAGGTGGATAGAATCGCTTGAGATGGGTCTTCCGAAAGTTTCGGATGAAAATTTCTTATTTACATAATATACAGGCTCTGAGATGATGCATAACTTATTGAGGCTTAGTTGGACAAGAATTCACTTCAGGATTATCATCCCGTGCCCGTCATCCTGAGGATGACGCTTCTTCAAGTGAACAGTAAGATCTCCGCGTAACGTCGACTGGAAGTCACAATAAGCGCACTTGAAGGGCTTTATTCCTAGGTGGGCCATGATGTGTCGCTTCATATTGGACGGGAAAGTCGCCGTGTGAGGACACAACATGCATTGGTGCGTTCGAACTCCTTGAGGGTCAGCAACAACCTTATAATGTACAGAAACAACATCGTCCAAAGTTTCACCGGGGTTCTCGGCAATCAGGCCCGCTTCGATCCGGTCAACGTGTTCCTTGCGAGGAACGAACGAGACCTCACTCGCTTCGAGAGGCTTGTTACGTAGCGCTACGATATCGAATCTCTTCTTGGGGCAGCTCGATCGTATCGCAGTCCTTATGCTGGAACTGGGAATGAAATATCTTTGAGCTCTCGAACACTTGGCGAACGCGGGTACAGCATCGGAATCTCAGTCGTCACTCACTTCATTTGCGTGCGAGCCAATGAGAGAGATTTCGCGATGGGTTTCCGTTTGGCGACGACGATTGTCCTCGAGGATGGTGACTCGCTATCGGGTGAGCCACCCAGTGCTTCGGAGTTCACGCCAGAATCCATCGCGAAACTCTCACTGTTCTCTTCGTCGCCTCCTCCGATAGCCTGCATTTGAACCAGCTGGCCATCTGCCATCATTTCTGGAATCAGCAAATGCGGTTTGAGATCTGAGATGCGCCCGGGCGCATGGATAGTTTCCCTCACGTGGCTCAAAGAATGATTCGAGCACTCACCGGATACTTCTAGAGGACTGTTATCGCTCATGTTTTGCTCGGCCTCAGCTGCGTTCTGAGTTTCGGGCTTGGGAAGCTCTCCGACCTCCTGTATGACACTGTTGAGTCCCAAGATATTGGCGGCCTTCACGAAGTTATCCAAAATGGGAGCTTTGAAACTCACTTTTCCGTGGTACATGTAGTCCACAAGACACTTGAGAGTTTCTATGTCCATGTCTAGCATGACGATCACCGGGTGCTTGCACGGATTGTTGAGGAGGACTTCTTCGAAGAACTTGCTCTGCGAAGCGATGACGATTTTATGAGCCCTCGCAGAACCATCCTTGCAGACGAGCGTCGTGTCCAAGAACTCTTCATTCGAGTAATACTCCTGGAACTTCTCGAACAAGTTGTTATGGGCAATGCTCTCCGCTTGGTACTCCTGCATCGTGCCCATAATGGCGAGGCTGAAAAGAGTTATTGCCTCAAGTTAGAGTGATTGAGCAATCCTCGGGAATGCTTCGGGGTAGGGGAAGATCTCAGCAGAATCCATCATTCCCGAGAGTTCTGGGCTTGAACGGTAACAGAGCGATCAGTCCTCTGATCCCGATGGAAAGAAAAGTATGATAGGAAAACAATGACGTAAGACCCCCACTCTTCGTTTGGGAAATCAATCTCTCCTCGGCGATTTGCACAGGAGGCTTTGGGGCTCCCCGCGCACTCATCGATTTGCCTGAGGAGCTCGATGCCTGGCCGATGGACGAAAATCATGCGAGCGTACCCGAATTGTTTCTTTTCCGTAGAGAACCATGAGCCGCTGTACTACTGAATTCGAGGTTCTCAGTCGAAGGTGAAGCTTCCAAGATCGATTCTGACTATGAAATCTGCGCACTCCATCCACAGGGAATGACAGCCTCGGGGTGTGCGAAACCTCATGCCGGTATCAGAGCGAGAAGCTCTCAGTGATGCGGCAAACGAGAATTTTTCGGCTCTCTAGTTGGAATCGATTCCGTTCGATCGTGACCAGCTCAGTCCCCCGTGTACCCCACGAGTGGAAGCTCTTCCCTGGACAAGGGTACCTAACGCAAACTTAGCGATGTTCGTGGTTCCAGTCTGTCGTCCCAGGCCGGAACCCTTTTGTTCCCGAACGAGATTTCTCAGCTGTTCCACCGAAACTTCAAATTTGATGGGTAGTGTTCGAATTTCGATGATTTGATGGTCCGAGGACAGTCATGTAGCAGATGATCCTTGTTCTGTGCTTTATTTCTTAGTCTAGAGAAGCACGAACCTCTTCCTTCGAACGATTCAGCCCCGCGTAGATTATGGAGATTGCGGAGAGGGTAACACCGAGTTTCCTCGTCGAGACGATCGCACGGGATCCTTCAAGAAAACCCTCGGTGAACGGTGAACGTCCTAGTATGGCGTCACTGTTTGTTGTTCTCCCGCTAGTTTCCATTCCCACTCGTCCGTCGCCGAATCGCCCTTTCCGATTCGGCGCGAAGTTCAAATCGAGTGGGATCACCGAGCTCTCGGATGATTCAGACAGAGCCGACCGACCCGAACCATCGTCGAATCGCTTTCATTGGGAGGATTCAGAAAGGAAAACCCCACTGAAATCTAAACTTGGCATTCAGTCAACGTGTGAGCGGGACTTCTGCCGCCACAGCACTCGTCTGCAAGCCTCTCCGGGAAGCTTGGATTTTCGATTCCATGTGTTCGTCCGTCTGGCGCGAATCAGCTGACGAGCAAGCGCGGACTTGTCTGCTGAAGGCGAGCTCCGTGCCGAACGAGGACCGGAAATCGGCAAGCGACTTGTTGCTTCCTTACTACCGTTTTATGAATCAGTGACGATCCTCCCCAGCTGGAGACATGTCACGAATCGAGAAGCTGACTATAAGAGGTGTCAGAAGTTTTGGGCCGGAGGAATCCGATACACAGGTGCGTATTTCGGTCGTCTCGAGGAAGGATTATGTTCGTACCCCAACCTTCTTTCGTCGAGAACTTCGCGGCTCGCCGCAAGCCTCACTCACATCGGGTGCACGAGGATCTGGCGGAGCGTCTTCAGTCCTTCGCGAGTGAAAATTGAAATGTCATCGATCCATTCGACTTCGGATCGGGTCTGCCCGATGGGGCGGATACACATGCTCCTGGATGAAAAACTCCCTTTATTGCGCAGCGCATATCATTCACTCCTCCGCTCACATTAATTCTGGGGCATAATGGAGCCGGGAAGTCGACAATCATCGAATGTCTCCGGATGATGACGACGAACGATATGCCCCCCGGTCAAGGCCAATGTTTCATACACGACCCCTCGCTTACGGGTCGTAACACCACGCACGCGAAGGTGGAGCTCCGGTGAGTGAAGACCATTCCTCGCCCCCCTTCGATGAATCTCCCCAAACGGACGAAAACTTCGAGTGTGACATCTCAATCGATCGCTCGTTCCCAGGTTGACGGATGCCAAGGACAGACAGTTCGATATTTCAAAGATCTTCACTCTCACGAAGAAGGACAAGACGTATAAATTCTCGACCACCGATACCAACATTCTCAACAAAGAAACCGATGAGAACCTCAGCTCGAAGTGCATCGATGTGAATGCATTCATGTCCCAGGCCCTGGGGGTTCCGAAGGCTGTTATTCAAAACGTGATCTTCTGCCATCATTCAGAATCGGACTGGCCACTAGGTGAAGGTGAGTATCTTTCCAAGCTTGATTCTCGACAAGCTGAATGTAGCTCGTGGGGATTTTCGACTTCGGCTCTCGATCCCGCATGTCAGCCCAGGACGAGCGGACTTCAATTATTATCATCCATGTCAACCCGATCCTCTTGAAAACCACACCGGACTCCATTGCCAGTCAATCTTCTGTTTGGACCTAACTCCCTCCGGCTTTTTGCAGGCAAAGCTCTGAAGGAACGCTTCGATGCTATATTTTCGGCCACGAAATACGTCGAGGTACTCGAAGTTCTCAACAAAGAGAGAAAGGAGATCAAGGGTCGCATCTCAACGTCTGAAGCTCTGAAGAAACCAGTCTCCGAAAAAGTGTAGGTCTCGGTCAGTCTCGAGCATTCATATTTTAAATAATTATCCGAAATGTACCTAACTCATCGACGGCTCGCATTCCAGCGCAACCTACAGAAATGAACTCAAAGAGATTGGCTGCAAAAAAGAGAAGCTCGTGGCAAGGAAGAAAGATTTGATCAGGATCCGCGACGAAGTGGAGCGGGTTTTCGGAGAACGCAACGAGGCTGAACGGAAGGTGCGTTCCTGTCCCGAACATTCGAGAGGGACCTTACCAAACGAGTCCGGGGTCGAGATTGAACTGAATCGAATCCGTACAGCCTGGAGGCAGGTTCTGGCCCTGGATGGAAGTTTCGTTAATCTCCATCGACGTATACGGAAGCGATGTATAGATAGAGTATAGTTAACCAAATATTGATGCACTGCTGGATGGAAATCACGGGGAACTGAGGAAAGATCGAGGCTGAAGAGCTCGTCCAGTTCTTGAGTCGAACTGACGATTCTCGGTTCTTCATTCCAGTATCAGGAACTCGCTCTGATCGAGCAGGAATACCGCAGACATGCGGATGAGTACAGCTCTTGTAAGAAGCGGTTGCAAGAGCTCAAAGCCGGCGTTACGGAGGTCATGGATCGACCTCGTGATGAGCTCGAAGAGGAGCTCGAGAATTTTGACTCTAAAATGCTCAAACGGAAAGAGAAGGTGAAGCGATTCTAAGTTTGATCACCGCACCCATTCTGTGTGGGGACCAATCGTTTCTTATCGGATTGTTTCCTCGGAGTCGATCAGAGCTAGATTTGTTGGTCTCATTTCAGGTCGAGCTTAATAAGGAAAGAATCAAAAAGATGAAAGCCGCTACCGAGAAGAAAAGGAACGAGGTTCAGGACAAAGAACGCGCTTTCGGTCTGAGTCATGACGTTTCCCGATCCGATCAGGTTCCCATCCGCGTCGGTCTGCCTGGATAGGGTTACACAGCTAATCAATCGTCTTGCTTTCCAGTGCGACTCGAAAGCGAGTTCAAACAACACCAACAGAATATTTCGAAGCTCATCGCTAGTCTCAAGAGTCTTGATCGATCACTGGAGGCCGGAGCTGATATATCTCTCAGTGACTATCGTGATAAAAAAGTCAGCGACCACGTCAAAATGTTCGACGGGAAAATCAAGGAGGTAGCATGCATGCGTACTCGGAATTTTACGCTGGCTTTACGCTTCCATTGTTCGATTGCTTCCAAGCGGCCTCTCACGAAGTAACTTTCTGCTCGATCCAGATGGAACAAAGTCTCGGCAGCAAACGTCAGCGATTTTCTTCGGAGCTCGAGTCTTTACAGAAGGAAATTCAGAAGCAGACCGAGCTCAAGGCATCGCTGAAGGTAGCCATGATCAGGATTATGCTAACATCGCTATTCGCTACCCTCCATGGGTGGGAAGAGATGGAATGTCACACCTCACAATCATAACTCGCAGACCCAACTGGATTCCCTCGCTGCCAAGAAAGATGGGGTAGTCATGGACCTATCCGACAGAGAGGACGAGCTTAAAGAAGTCGCGTGCATTGGAAACAAACTCGAGAAGTTTGACCGAGACATCAAAGAAATGGAGGATAAATTGCGAACGTGAGTCGTCTGATTCAGGACAGGAAATATCACGGATCGCTCGAGGCGCGGAAACTCCTCCGACTCGAGAAACAGGTTTCCACTGATATCTAACGAGTTATCTCGTTTAGGCTGAAACAGCTGACCGAAGAAGGCGACATGGACGAGCTTTCCGACAAGATAGAAGAGCTGGCCAAGAGGGAGAATACTTTGAACGCAGAACTCAGCAATGCCACGAAGAGCAGCGCCATAAAGAACAAAATCAAGTCCTTGGAGGATCAGGTACATCGAAAGCTCCATAGCCCGGAGAATTTTGAGTGCTTCTCCCTGAAGCGATTAGGGTGAAGGTAATTACTACGTTGATGATCTAATCACAGATCGGCAAGAAGGCCAACGGAGTCAACAATTTGAAAGTCAGAATCACGAGAGAACTCAAGGAGCCTTTGGCGAAACTCGAATTGGAGCTCCCCCAAAAAGAATGGGCGCGAGCCACTCGGAGCGCGAGCTCTGATCTCGAAGCAGGCATCAAGGTTTTGCGGAAGAGCATCGAATTGAAAAACAAAGAGGTTACCAAGGTAAAGATGGTCGCAGACAAACAGAAAGGTCACTCGAGTATTCGCATTCGGCAAGGGTTGATTGAGTCGATTCTCGTCGATTGGCTCTTTCGGGGCCCTCTCATCAACTTCTATACGACGGGACGAACTTCAGAATTGTTTTTCTCGATATCAACCCACCATTGCAGTCTCAAACCGAGTTGGACATGAACGAGAAGGAGATGAGCAAGCTCCAGAAAAAATTGAAAGAGCTCCGCAACAAGATCGACGATGAGATTGGATTCGAGAGCACCCTCGACGAGACACTGCGCGAGACCGAGGAGACGGTGAACGAGGCGCGAAATCGCGATAGTATTTTCATCGGAACGCAACACGTGTACAGCAAGTGAGTTCCGTCGCTCACCGGCGATCTCCCTCGATGCACGTCCACCGAATCTACGGGCTGCGGGTCATGAAACGCTCTATCTTCCCACTTCAGATACAAAAAGAAGATCGCGGACCAGAGACGCTCTCGAGTTGAACAATGCTGCCCGCTCTGTGATACGTCCATGGAAGAAGACGCCGTTCGGAAGCTCGAGCAAAAGCTCGAGAAACTTATGATGGAACTTCCGAAGATCCGGAAGGACTCTGAAAAAGAGGTCGTGGAGGTCAGCGCGAAGTTGAGCAGACTCAATCTACTCAAGCGGTTGGTGGATGAAAAAGAATGAGAAATACAGTCATCGATCCATAGGATCCGATTTTCCGCGGAAAATGACTTGGTATCAATCGTTCTCAATCAGAGACGACCAGGAACGAGAGAAAATCGAGAACGACCTCCTCCCCGATCTCGAATCGAAGGCGAAGTCTTTGAGGAGCGAACTCCAAACACTCCGGGATGATCTGTCGTCGCTCAAAACAGACCTGGAGTCGAAGATAGAAATCGCCGGGGTTCTGAACCGCTTAGCCGGTTCCTGCGACCTCTATGACAGCGGAGTGCGCGATCTGGAGAGCCTCCGAAACGATCTTAAGAAAGAGAAGAACTCCCTCGAAGGTAGCTCGACTCCGCTCTGATCGACACACTCTCGAATCTGAATAGCCTCAGGAATAAGAAGATTGATAGCTCTGGTTGTGGGCCTTAGGAGACGAGAATTTTTCAGATGATTGTCGCGACGTGGACGACGTAATGCGAGACATGAACGAAGTCAAACAGAAGAAGAGAACTTTGGATGAGAGTTACAAACAAAAACAGAATCGGCTTCAAGAAGTTTCAGACGTTCAGGTGAAAAGTCGAGATACGAAATAATTGGATCGACCGACGAAACTGGATCACGGGACATTCAAGTCCGCATTGCGATTCTTATGAGTCGAGTTTTTCCCCGGACAGGTCAAACTGGGTCAAGCGAGGAACGAGAAGCTACAGCTATTAAACAAGGCGGGAGCCGAGGCCCAAATCAAGCAGGCGATCAGTAAACTCAACAAAGAGTTAGCTCAGATCGAAGAAGAGATCCCGACTATCGAGAAGAAATGTGAGCTCCATGGAGAGCTAAAAGTGTCTCGCATATGAATGGTCCGCAGAGGGTCGGATCTGTAATTCAAGACGGGATTCGGATTCCAGTGCGGACCGCGAACTCGACACTCGAGGAGTCCGAGAGCTCGAGACAAAGGCTGGCGCGGCAGCAGGAGAAACAAATCGATGAGCTGCAGGCGAGGATTTCAAAGACGAAACAAGAACGGGAGGAAGTCGGAAAAATGTTGCGAACTCTCGAAGAATTTGAGCAATCCGACAAGGAGAGCAAAATGAGCGCAGCCACAGATGAGGTTTGTTGGTCGGAGTCCCTGTCACCTTCGTGAGAATGGCTCGCTCCTGGGGCTCGGGTTCGAGTCTCCCATCTTTTATCAATCAGAGAGCGCCTTCTGACTCATTCTGACACCCGCTGGGGCAACTGGAGCGGGACTTCGAATCTTAAGTATTCTCTTCCGCCAGATCACTTCCCTCAAAACTGAATTCCGTCGCGTCAGGGATGAGTGCGAGGAAATGGAGGAGACCACTCGTCAAATGGAGCTCGAGGTCGGCTCCGAAGCCACCAGGAGACGAGAACTTTCCGACAACATCGCAATAATCGTTAAAACCCTCGAACTCGAAGAGCTCAAACAGAACGTCGATAAACATAAAGAGAAATTGGCCGAGCATAAGTCAGGGTAGGCTGCCTACATATCATGGCGAGTTCATTCGAGCCCCAGAGAGCTTCTTGGTCTGCACAGGGCTCGACTGGTCCTGTGATCAATCTTCCATTGCAGAGACGGAGATCATATCGACATTCTGAATCGCATCCGCGACCGTCACGAGAAACTGAAAGCCGAGGAGCTGACGACGGCGTCTGAAGTTCACAACGACGAGAAACACATAATGGAGCGAGAAGGGATCGTGCGGAAGCAATTCGAGAGCGCCGAAAAAGAATACAAGGAATGGCTGACGAACTCGCTTACCGAGAAGCAAATATCCCGAGATCTCGACGTCGGATACACGGCACTGAACAAAGCTATCCTGGCTTTCCATCAAGAGAAAATGAATTTGATCAACAGGATAATCAGAGTGAGGGTCCTCCCCCCGACGAGAGTTCCTCTCTCAGACATGCGGCAACGTTCGGAGGCTTGGGTGCATCCCGGTTCGAATGGGAGGATATTTGAATTTTTATCTTAGGACAGAGTAACCCCTGTATCGATCCCTTCAGGAATATTGGGTGCGAGTCTACAAGGGCAACGACATAGACCAAATCCAGATCGAGTTCAATGAAGACACGGGGGCGTCGAAGACGTCCACCAAGCGGAGCTATCAGTATAGGGTAGTCATGGTCAGGCAGGGAGTGAAACAAGATATGAGGGCAAGATGCTCCGCTGGTCAAAGAGTGAGTTTCTGATCATCGAGCGAGTTCCTACGTGGTCTCTGCAGGGTGCTCAATTGAGCGCTGCACTTTCCCCCCATATCGAGATTACTCGGTGGTCAGAGAGTATTTTCTTATCTTGTCTTACGTGGTCGTGGTCAGGTGTTCTGTGAGCTCTTGTGATCTCCCGTGTTAATCTTATAACGCTCCAAGTACTATTGAACTTGTCTGTAACAGGTTCTCGCGTGTATCATCGTCCGTTTGGCGCTGGCGGAGGCTTTTTGTGACGGATGTGCGATGTTGGCTTTGGATGAGCCGACCACGAACCTCGATTTCGACAACATGAAAAGTTTGGCGGAAATTCTCGCTGATATCGTCCGCAACCGTAAGACCGAGAAGAATTTTCAAATGGTTCGTGCTCCACCCGAACGCCTTCACGAATACGACCTATCCCAAAATGGATGATAAGAAAATAACAATGAGGATGATTAATGATGATAATAGTCGGGGTGATAATGAGTCTTTGACCGAGTTTGTACATTGTGTATCTGAGATACCGATCGTTTCGCTACTTGTATCCATAAGGGTATGAGAAATATCTTTGCTTCAGGTGGTCATAACCCACGACGAGACTTTCATTCTCGCGCTCTCTAAGCATCTCGAGGACATTGGAGAAGTCAAACATTACTTCGAAGTGAAGAAAAACGACGACAACATGTCTGTGATCTCCAAGAAGCGTCTCGACGTCGATTACTGAAGCCCCTTATTATCTACTGATCCCCTTGTTCGATTATCGGACATCTGACTTTTAAAATAAGAGGTTAAAAAACGAAAGTTCCTAGAATTCCGCTCTTAACGCTCTCGTCCTCGTGATCTGAGTGGATGGTACAATAAACGGACTGATTCACGAAAGAATGGGAAATTCGCTTGTCTAAATATTTCGGGGCTTGACCCGATTCTTTATTCACAGATGACTCCAGAGCTTAATCTAAGTTTGCCTACTTTACAAAAATACAATGTACAAGTTTGCGTCTCATTGTCGCAAACTTGGGCGCCTCAAATTGTCTTGACGCGGCTCAAACCGCTGTGAATTCGTCGGTAGAGGATTGTCAAATGAATGTCTCCAAGCCGACACGCCGTGCCGAGACGCTCATCCGATGCGACGCACGGCTCGAGAGCGATGGTATACTGTCTATCGGTGCGATTCCGAGTTCTACGAATTGGAAAGGAAGGATTTCCACACTTGGCAATGATGGCTCTTCGGACCGTGCATCAGAGTCGAGTTCAGGAGATTTATTCTGATAGTGTCCCGTCCGTCTTCCTGGTATTGTGGCCATGGATATAAGGGTGAGAACGGGATCGACGGCGACCTGTTGAAGATAGGAAACATGAATTAGAGATTTTCCCTTGAGAATTCCTCTCCCGCTCGGGGCAAGAGCGGCTGCTTCTATAGGTATAATACATCTCATCTCGGAATGCGAAAATCTTACCCTGTTCGTAGGAAGTTGCCGATCATGCTCAAGGACTCCCGGAGTAAGGACTCTTCGGCTTCCGTGATGCCCCGCGAGAAACAATCCAGGAAGCCGTGACTTGCCTGTCCAGACGTTTCAGCGCGGTCCTTTATGTGGAGCTGGCTGCCCATGGTGAATCCGATGTCGTCGTAGTGTGTCGGCCCGATATATTCCGGCCAGGCACTTGTCGATGGGCGGTGAGCCCACATGTAGCGATAAACTTTGACTCCCTGATTGTCCATGAAAGTGGAATACAGATCGGCGGGACACTCGAATAGGACGTCTCCGAGCAGAGCACTCATGGAATCCTGGAGTTCTTCGACATCTTCGCTGTCGTCCCGTATGTACGTGAACACCGCTCTCCTCACGAAGTGCGCCGGGACGCTCAAGACCGATTTTAGCATAAACCAGGCCAGAGCCAGGAAATTCTCCGCCGAAGGCGTGTCGTAGCCCGCTCTTTCCATGGCGCTATTCGCGAACATTCCTCCTTCGTTCTGGATGGTTCCGATGAGGACTTCTTCGATTCCTGCGTTTAGTTTACTCTGGGCTCCGCGGAACGGGTATTCGGGTATCAAATCATCGATTCCAGCCATGGCTTGGAAGTTGACCAGGAACTGATCTCCAGCCGCACTCTGCAGTGTGTCGAAGAATTTTTTACCATCGATGAGCTTCATGCATGTGGCAATCTCGTCGATATCGCGCTCGTCGACTTCGTCTGCCGAGCTACGGCAGCCGAGAACACTAGCCGCATAGATTCCGTTCGAGGCACTGTTCATGTGCAGTGATAACGCCGCAGACGGAGCCGATCCGCTCTGTAAGATGGCCCGGTTGAATAATCCCTCCGCGAGAGGACTGCTCATCAACATCGACACCGCGATGGCACCTGCAGACTGTCCCCATAGGGTGAGTTTCTCCGGGTCTCCACCGAGTGCCTCGGCGTTCTGTTTGATGAATCTCGCAGCGAGGAGCATATCGTATATCCCGGCGTTCCCGGGAGCGTGACTGCTGTTCAGGTACAGGAAACCGAGAGGACCCACTCGGTAGTTGGCCGTCACCACGATGACTTTCTCCTGGGCGACGAGCTGTTCTGGATCGTGGATGTAATGCCCGTTGTAGCCACCGTAGAAACTGCCCCCGAAAAAGTGGAGAGCTATCGGGAGTCCGCGAGCGTTTTTCGGTTTGTAAATGTTCAAGTGGAGACAATCTTCGGACATCGGGTGGAACCTGTACGACATGTTGCGCCGGATGAAAAATTCGTCCCTTTGGATACAGGCGGGACCCATGACCGTAGCGTTTCGTTCTCCGATGTACGCGATTGGCATGGGATGTTTGAACCGGAGGTCTCCGACGGGCGGCTGAGCGTAACGCACACCGAAGAAGGTTTCGACCCCGGTTTGCAGTTCAGGCACCTCCAGCCACTTACCGTTCCAGAGACCCGAGGTCAGATTCACGCGGGGATAGTTCACCGATCCGGATGCGTGGCTCTCGTCGGAATCCTCCGAATCAGTTAGGGAGTTCACGTCGGATGACAGGAGATCGTTCTTGAGACTCGCGATCACTTCCATGGCATCTTCAGTCAGGTTCGTCAGGGGAAACGGGGACTCTTGCGAGAGTTCCGGATCGAACTTCAATGAGCGAGAGGTAACCTTTGAATTCCGGCTGGTATTCCGGAAGTTCCCCGCAGGCATGGCATTTCCTAGCGTGCAGATGCAGAGTAGCAATCCAATGCTAAACGTCTTCGACATCTTTCTCTGTAAGCCGTCCACTGTCCGAGCAAGCGGAACGATTGACGAGGTTCTGGTGAATTCGGTGCGCGGATGAAGCTTTTGAATCGAGAGAGAAAGAGACAGGTTCCCTCTGCCAGAATTGTCGCACGGGCCGCTCGGGCGGCCGCAGAGATAGCGAGCGAGCAAATGAGCGAGAGAAAGTGATAGATCGGTCTATCGCATCGATTCCGATCGTGATTGGGGTGAATTGCAATCGAACGTAAATCCGCTCATGTCCCGTTACTTCGCGCACTCGGAGAAAAATCTGTCACGGGGCGAGGGTGAAGAGAGACCCTCGGAACGAGGAACAAGAGTATTCATGAGAAGGAGATCGGTGAATGAGGCGGATACATTCGGGCGGCGCGGCGCTCCGATTGCTCGCTCTGATCTCGCCTCAGCGCCGCTCGTGATGGTCGATTGGGAGACCCACGGTTAGTCCGTGGGACGGATCCTGTGTATCGTGGAAGAACGTGATAGCCCCGGCGATCAGTCAATGCTCGAGATATCTCAGAAAAGCGAGTTCGTCCAAACCTTATCTCAGATTTTCACGGTCACGTACTCATCCCGCAGAATGTTATCGGATGCACCGCATAACGATCAAGTGGAACGATCTCTAAGGGAGATCTGCAGGTAAGTTTCGAATAGCAGGTACAGTCGGGGTCGCAAGTCCCACTTGAGAGTCGCCGTAAATTCTCACCGTGTCACGGACCACGCTGGATGTTTTGCCTGCGATTCCTCACGCGAGAGCCTCGGCACGAAGCGGCTATAGAGAGCTCGTTATCGGACTCCCCTTCGTGGTCTCATTCTGAAACATTGCCTGGCCTAGAATCAATAAAAATCCTGATGCACATGTAGGCTGCAGACGATACTCACAGGAAACTTGTGGTTTCCGGGCTGCAGAACAAGGACTGTGAGCTTGGGAACGTCTTTAATGACGCAGTGAGCCGGATTCTCATATTAATTGATAGTTAATTGATCGAGAGAGCCTCCATCGCGAGCCAAAGAATGGGGGGAAGCTTTATCTCGGCATTCTCACGAGTGAACTCGACTCCTCCGGAATCTCGAGTTTATCGGAAGTTTATCGATCACTTTATCGGAAGGAGCACTCGACACCACTCGGACCGTGTGAAAAATGTGGTGCGCTCCCAGCTTACCCGAGGAGGATCGGAGCAGGAGCTCCAGATGCCCAGAAAAGGCCATTGCGCGGACACTTTTCTCTTCGTCGGTCGGGTTGGGTTGGGACGGAGAAGATATGGGAGTTTGGCCCCTCTGGGGGTTAATTTTTCTTATCATGAACTTACAGGACGATTACTTCTTCCGATGCGATATAGGTGATCCAATTCCGGCGAGGGGTGTCGAAGAATGCATAAGACAAGCTCTTCGAGAACATGAGCCACGGAATGGTGGCGACCTGAGACATCCATGATCGACTGCGTGCAATCAAGGGCGCATTGACGTCACAAGAGAGTTTATTATGTCGGTTTACTTTTTCTTGCTAATATTCGGAAGCATTATCGGGCGAATTCCCTCCGCTCTTCGCTACGATCGGCTTTCGGCGCATCTGCGTCATCCCGGATCCCTGTCGGCTAAAATTCCGACCGCATCCCGATCAGTTTGAACCGAATGTCCTAATCGCTTACATTCATCTGACAAATTTTCTGCTTACGGAGCAGCCGATAATTCTGATGCAGCGCAATCGAGACACTGCTCATCTCCCTGATGAGCACCTCTTGATTTCCAGCTTGATGTCTCCTCAGGATCGCTAAGTCGCCCAGCTCTAATCGGGAACGGCTCGGCAGCCGTAAGATTCCGCTCAATTCGGAAACGTGGAAATCCAAGATTATTCTCCCGTCGGGCCGGCTCCGGATCTCAGAGGAGACGTGCGAAATCATTCTTCGAAAAATTCGATAATTCCGCTGGCGGCTTTCTGAGTATTTTCTGGCGGGCTGAGTGAGGGTTAAGCAAATGAATCTTTCTTCATGCTTTGAGCGGAGTTTTCTGATGGCGGGAGAAACAGACGACATGAAGTAGCGGATAAATGAACTTCTCACAGCTCGCGAGCTTCCAAGGAGCGTGATATAGATAAGTCGATGCAAAACCAGCAAACAGCTGGTAGGCACTTGACGAGCACCCAAAGACAACGAGCTCGATGACCTTGGGGAGTTTGCGCGGGGACAATAGAGGAAGGAATCATTCGGCTCCTGGCGCTGCTGTCGATCAGGAGCTGGGGAACATCGATTCAGATCTGAGGATTGTACAGAATCGCGCGTGGTAACGCCTCAAGTTTCGGGCCAAGTCGAACCCTGCTTCTGTCTTGTTCGTAAATTGCCTACTATGATTCTTATAATTGTCGCCGCGACAGCAGTGTCAACATCGACATCCATAACTCTGCGTCGCTCACGGATGAAATGTTTGCAGAGCATTTACGCCTTGAGATACATATCCCATCGGAGTCGGAAACCTTCTCCCTTCTCAAGGGAATTCAGCTCGCTCGGATCTCCCAGACTCTGCCTATTCGCGAAATCAACGATTCTATCGTTTCTGGAGCTCATTGCATGTGGTTGACATTTTATGATTATGAGAGCCTCAAATTTTTGATGAATTTCGTCGATGAATAAATCATCGATAATTCGAATATTTGAGTAGCGGAAATCTGTGTGCAGTTCCAAATCCAGCCTTGAATAGGCCAGCGATGTCAGTAGCGGTGCCGCTAGACAGATTCGGGTTGACCGTTCTAGGACGGGCGATGCAGAAGTTGTCTTTCAGTTTCTATCTATGTCTCGGATTAAGCGCGATTATCGGCGTGGCTTCCGCAGATTTTGAGCCCTTCAATATATGCCGTGAGTTTTTCGTCTTCGTTTGTCGGTGGTGCCCTGCGATGAGTATTCGATCGGGCCGAACTTTATTTGCTCTCTCCGGGTGCTCGCGGATTCCTGGAGCTTATGATATCATCTGATGTTCCCCGATTTTCGCGTTGAAATCATTCACTGTTCCCATCCCATAATTCCAGTATCGAATGAGAAACAAGTCATTGCTTTCTCCGACTGCATGATGAGCGACCCCAATCAATCCGACGAGGTGAGAGGGAGCTCTTCTCCAACAGCGTTCGAAACCCCTTATTGATACTCGTGACGACTCAATGGACTTTGGCACTCCATGAGTTAGATTTTTTTTTCGGCTTCCAGTTCAGACAACAATCCAAGGACATGCTCGAGAGATTCCCGGGAATGAGTCTTTACGACATTTCGATGCTTATTTGCAAGTCGAACGGAGATAACGGCGAAGCGATTATGAGCGAGTTCTACGATTCCTTCTCTGGCCATCTGCAAGAAGAATTCGTCCGTTACGCCACCAACTGTGCGAGTTTTGGAACAGACTGAGAACATCGGAAGCATCGAGACTGCGTCACTCGCAATCTTCAAATCGGAGGAAAATTGGAGAGATTTCGGGTTGAGCTGCCCAACTTATGAGACTTCTACACTTCAGAAGGCATCTGGAACATTTCACATTTCAACTCAGAGGGAGGCTCTACACAATACATTGAATACGTATAATATGATACACGCTTCGTCCTGTGTCTTCATAAATCAATCAGAGATTCCTCAATTGAATTTCCCAATGAGATTCTAAGATATTCGATCGGGCTGAGAAAACGGTAGTTCGAAAAGTCTCACTCTACGGGCTGACGACAATCATCCACTCTATCCGCGTCAACCCGTTCCCGATGCGGGATTCTTCAAAGATCGCCGCCGAAGAATCGGAGCTTTGCGTGAGCGAGCGCAAGCTTCTCTCGAACCCAACGCTCGTCAATCAATGGCCTGAATCCGCGGAAGTCAACCCCTTCCGACCCGCGCAGAGGGCTTGAATGACACGTAGAGCCTCTTCGGTTTGGCGCATTCTGTGAATGATTGGTTCCCGAATCCGGCATCGTTGTGAAAGCTTTGTGTGAGAGACCGTGCGGTCACTTGTTGGAGGTTATCCGAAAAACCAATCATCCATGAGCTAAATGATGCCGGTGTTTGAGTGCTGCAGCTTCCGATGAAGATCTCTCGGCACTCTCAACCTTAACGGAAACGAGACAATGCCCATTGTACGTGATCCTTGAGCTTGGAGCTTCCCAAGACCCGAAATTTTCGAATTCTTCATCGCAAATCAAAATATTCGAGCCGATTCCAAGCCTCGATGGCTGGCGAAAGCGAGGCGAATAAGCCTCAAAACTGCAATACCGAATCTGAAAGATTCTCTCTCGGAGATCGGGGAGGAGGTCCTCTCTCGAGTGATCCATCTTTCTCCGCTCGCCACGGTCTCAGTGCTGCTGCTACGCGGCCACGACAACTGAAAACATATGTATATGATGATGCGCCTGTCGAATATAAATAAACCCCGTCAACCACACAAACGACCGTCTGCTATAAGAATTCGAATTCGAAAATGATAGCTATGAAACTTTTCAATCCCTGCCACGTATTTTAGTCTGGGAGCTCTAGTTTCTCGCGTTGTGCATTCTGAAGTGTTTTGAAGCTTTTCGTGTTTTGTTGTCTCAGTGAGTATACGTCGGTCAAGTCGCGATGAGATCTGATGCACACTCGCTGCCGAATTAATTCCCTGCGTCGAGGAAATGAGAAAGTGTTCCCAATTTCCCAAGGCTCTCTCTTCTGTGAAGACGAATCGACATGAACTCGACGCCACCTCCAGATGACTTGAATCCAGCTCTGAGATTCCAGAAGTTCCTCTCCAAGGTTGACGCTTCCTCCACTCCGTAAATCGACCCGAATCGATCCATGTTCGAAGGACCGATATCTCTCGCCGCCCCGATCCATAAAACCGCAAGATGAAATTACAGATGTATGAACGCTACAAGCATGATGATGGAGAGAATCTTGACGAGCGTCCACCCATCCCGGTCCCGGAGGCTTTCGATTTCATTCGCTTCAAATCGGAGGAAGAACTCCAATATTTCGACCCGAAGGGAGGAGAATTTTGGGAGACTCGTCGCGCAGAACGAGTGAACGCAAATGATTCGTCGAACCTGAACCTCCCACCAGACCCTATGAACGACGAAGATTTCCGGAGGTAAATGAAAATGTCTGAGGATACGTCTGTATGAAGTCGAGAGGGTCTCTACGGCGGCGAGTCTAGCATTCGCGCTCACCCTGGATCTCCGAGGCTGCCGATAGATCTTATGCGATTCTCGATATGAACATTCACGAAGTTCCTCAAACGGGGATGCCGGACGAAGACGGACATCTTTTTCCCAGTGTTCGAGAACGCGTTTGTAAGAAGCCGAGTCATGAGGATATCTTGGAGCAGAGCGTCTTGAGATGCGAAATCCCCGATGAGGAGCTCGAGAAAGACGCAGAAGATATTCCGAGCAGTGAGTAGAAGTCCCTCAAGGAGACTCTTGCACATTAGGGGATATCGATCGATAGTAGCTCTATAGGTGCATGTCTGTGTCGGTCAGCGAGTTATTGTGATACATTACACCTCAATTTGAGCAAGGTGGCTCTCAAACTCCTCTCGATCGATTCCAGTTGAGACCTCAGACGACATTGGTAAGATTTCTCTGTTCCTCGGGCCGTGAGTAGTGACTTCCAATCTATAGCAGAGCTGGCTAGTGCGCTCGTTAAGCGGATTTTTAATGTGAGAATGATTATCTCTCCAGTGGAAGAGATCGAGGGTCTTTGCAGAGCATATGAAGTGAGTTCCCTCTCCGGGTTGGTGTGATCTCGGACTCAATATTCGGACAGAGCAAGTCCCATCGATCCCATTCCATTTTCCCCGTAAATTCACTACCTGTCTGAGCTCGTCTCAGGTCTTCATCAACGGAGAGGGAGATGTACTGATGGACGAAAGCGACGACGATGACGGAACCATCACGAGTGAGGATCTGGAGCACACACGCAATATCTTGGCAGATATCAGTCAGTCGGTGGACCGAGAGAGTATCTTGGAAGCAACAATAGTGAGTTTGTCCTGATTTCGAGCCTTTGGATCGTTCTCATGATGGACTTTGACCGAAGACGCGTTTTCCCAGGTGCCCGAAGCTCACGATTTCAGACCCCGTGTGAGCTCAACGTTTTTGATCCCAAATACGGAGGCAGACAACAGCGCAGAACTATCTCTGAGGCAAGACACAGCCATAGCGTGCGAAGGGCCGCAGAAGACGGGGACTGACCTAGCTGATCTGCCAGAAGAGACTACGTCTTTCGCGCCTGTGATCCGTGTTACTTGTATGGAGTCAGAGAGCAGCTCCTCAGCATGCGATGATTCATCCGAAAATGGCTCAGTTACTCCAGACGGGACCCTGATAGCGCCTCCCGGGAAGGTATTTATCTCCAATAGCTCGGGTGTAACCGGAGTGAGTCATCGCCTATTCCGGAGTCAAAATGATATGATTACCCTCGTGGATTGTACAATCCTATCAAGGATCATCTAGCTCGGTCGATCCCCTGCTTAGACGATTCTCATTCTTCCAGAATGAAATTCCGGATCGTAGCAGGAGTCCCAGCCGATCGCCTGTCCCACCCTTGCATCTCCTGACCCCGCTCCAGCGGCGGCTCGTCAAACTCAATCTCTACTGACGGTCCCCTACCAGACGGTTTCATCTCCTTACGAGAATAATTCACCCTCTCTTGGATATGTAGCACTCCCTGGGAGCTCGTCGGCGAGAATGTTGGTCGATGTTGAATGGGACTCGGGTATTGAAATTTTGCTGAGCGGAGCAATGTGTTTTCTACAAAGCTCCGATCTGATATTACGTGAGGAAATCCCCGTACGGGGCCAGCACTGTTTGGACGATATCGGTCCGAACGAGCAAGTCCAGCCTCTCTGATTAAGATGTCAGTATTCCGGCACCGCGATGCACCATTGTTTCTTCGAGCGTGAGTATCGAGGGGGCTGTGATCGGAAGATATCCCCGTCCACGGAGAGCGCGTAATAAAAAGAGTTGTACTTTGGGAGGACTCCTTCGTGATCTCTCTGGCACACCTCGACCACGTTGAGTCCCTAGGGGTTTCGGCATCTGATGGGAAACGGCTGAATGGATATCGAATGCGTGCAACTACACTGACGAAGCGACGTTCAATTGAATATCTCGCTACAATTTATTTTTTCTATCAAGGAATTCTTTCTTCGCCCGAAGAAGCTCCTCGGGACATCGGAGTAATCGGAGGGCTGTATGAGCTACGGCTTGAGCACAATCCAACATACGTTTTTCAGCATCGATTGTTTTCGCCTGGAAGAGGAAACCGAGGATCACGCATCGATGTCTCAGCCCACTCCCTCTGGAACCGCCGAGCTTCAAATTTCGAGACTCAAGCATACTGATTCTAAGAAACCCTGACCGGGGGAACCCACCTGTTTGGCGAAGTCCGCGTGATGCAAGGAAATCGGAGTGTTGATATAATACATAGGGTGGATTGCCGGGACTTTTTGAGAAACGTTGCCCATGTCAGTTGAAACCAGGGTGTTGTAACCTTTGTCCAAGCCATAGGTGAACAGCGCGTCTGCGGAAAGACTCGATTGCCAATCCGGGGCACAGGTTTCTCGTTCCAGATCTTCCTCAATACCCATGCACGAAGCTCGCTTACCTTTGTCGTGCAGATATCCTGCGAAGATGTTTCCCAGGACTAGGTTCGGCCACATTTCCACATAAGGATCAGTGAAGCGCCAAGCCAATTGGCAGTTCGTGGCTGTAGCCCCGGCCTCGAGACAACTCACTATCCTCGCTCGGAAAGGCCCCATGTCCATCCCGTGCATCGTACGGTAAGTAATCTCCAGACCGAGCTTATCGTCGACCTCTTTGATAACGACTGGAAAGAGGAATCGGAACGTCATCTTCTCAACGAATGAACACTCATGGCAGACCATGCGGCCTGCGAGGACCCCGCGATCTTCAAATCAAGTTGAGCGGGAGGGAGGGTTCCGAGGAGCTTCTCGAGGCGGCCGTCAAAGAGAAGAGGTCAAAGAGGGTATTATACTCCAATCGACAAGGTCCTGAGGGTTATGCGGATAGCCGGAAGACTCCCCGGGAGGGAATGAATGCTCAGCGACCCCCTGATCTGGAACTACGTTCCTTTGTATAGTCTAGATCGCGCCTTGCCGCTCACCTCCAATACGCCACTGTTGCGGGATCTGAGACCTAAGCGAGACGATGTTATTGTAGGCCGCTACCACGGCGTCGCTCTCAGAACCCGGTCCCATCGAGTCGAATGTGTTGAAGAAATGAAAAGTATCTCCCAGTCGCGCACTACTATAATTGGCGAAAATCTGGAATGTGCAAGAGTATTCAATTCTGAATACGTTGGTACGCTACTTCGAGAATGGGAAGTATGCAATGCCCCCGGTCAACGGCTTCCGTGCGTCTGTTAGGAGCTTCACACGCCCGGGATGCGAGCGGAGCGGACTCACCCTGGAAGAGCAGAGCGTTTCCGCGTGGAGTATCCCCTTGTTCGATGCGTGAAGCATCATGGCGACGTCCACGTCATCGAAAGCGTCGATCATGATGATTTTCCCGCCGCCACCTTCTTCTGCCGGGGACCCAATCACTGTGATTTTCCCTGGATATCGTTCAGGGTGCATCTGTGAATCGGAAGTCACTCAGATTTTTCTCAGGGCGTTCACAAGCAGTATTCAGCCATATCGCGGATTTCCGCCGTAGGGATCGACCCATGAACGCTATTGTATGGTGTAAGCGCAACGTGATCTACTCATTACCGTCATGATGTCTTTGGTCAAGAGAGCCATCGCGATTCCACTTTCTGCGATCAAGTTGTGACCACACGCATGGCCCACACCCGGTAGAGCGTCGTACTCGGAGATGAAACATATGTTCGGACCCATGGAGGCTTGATGTTGAGATTCATGAAAAAGGCGAACGTTTTTCAGCTGATCGAGGCGTTTGAGCTAAAGGATTGATAGATCGACAGTCTTTGCACGATGAGATTCATTCCCATAATTGGATGCAAACTGGCCGAATGACCAGCTTAATCCGCTATTTTTTGCGCCTTTCTCGACGATGTAGCGGTTTGCTTCCCCCTATTGTCTCACTGATCGTTTTAGCAAGACGTATCTATTTGACACCCTCTCAGCACAGTCGAATCTATGGTTGGCGTGCTAGAGATATCCGACCTTGCCCGGCAATGAAAAGCAGACACTTGTGACCCAGATTTTCCGGGGGTTGATCGAGAGGTACAAGGCATATGATTGGCTGACCGAATGCTTGCGTCAGTCAATGCATAGGGAAGCGACCGATCTGGAGACAATGATTGTCTGCAGACACCACTGTTCATTCCAGAATGCTCCGAAAGTTATCCACTCGACGATGGAGGAGGAAAAACGAGACAGACTGAGCGCCTCTTCCGGAGCCGATGTGAGGATTGAGCATGATAAGCGGACGGAGTCGTTACCGACCTAATCGGGGCTTCTTGGATTCGTGAGACGCGTGTAACTATCCGGAACAGTTAATTTCCACTACGCTGCATCGTGGGCGCAAGATTGGAATCACCCACATCATATCCATCCTCGACGCACAAGAGGGAAGATTCTTCAAAGGGATCCGCGACTCGAGTCATTAAAGAACATATCGCGATTCTCGATCCACCTTAATAAATCCACGGGTCTCACGAATGCGCTCGCTGCAAAGGATTTCGACAAAAGGCGCAACGTTGGATGCTGCCCGCTTCATTCGTGTACGAATATCGAGCTCGCAAAATTATCGCTCCCCTATACAGCTGGAAGTAGCATGCTAATCAAAGGATTCGAAATCGGAGGGTCTGTGGAACATAGCGAAACTACCCCTTCAACCCTTTTCAAAAGAAGGCATGAAATGAAACTCACCGAACTTCCCGTTTTCCGGGCTGAACTCCGCGCGAAACCCTGTCGGGAGAATATAACGTCTCGTCACTTTGAAGCCTTGATCTTCTAGAACTTTGGTAAGGAGATCATGTGCTCGATATTCGACGAAACGAATCTCTGGGTTCGACCATATTTCATCATTGATCTGGAGGATGAAATCAATTCGACGTGAAAATGACATGTGACACATTTCGATTCAGGCTGGCTCGCTCCTGAAAAATCGCTCCCAGGGGCCGGAGAGAGCATTCGAATAACTCTACGGACTCTATAGCAGCTTTTGTCGAATTCAACCCGATCGGGAGCATTTCGAGAGGCCAGGGCAATTGATTTGGCGCGAGGTGCTGAACGTCAGTATATTAAGCATCTCTCCGGCCTAAATTATTCGACTACATCGGTCCCGAGGCAGAGTGTTTAGCGGCGATTGGACATTGCAGTTCCGCGCTCCTCTGGATTTGTGTTGACGACTGCCGGAGCCGCGGCAGGGAGCGCGCTCCCAGTCTTGAGGGGGGATCATGGAGACCTCGAAGAAATCCGTCCCACAATCGGAACGCTCTAGCTCCCGGAGGCTCGTGTCCGAATGCCGTCGCTCGTGTGGTCAGATGTCATATTCTTCGGGTTTTGAAATATTCCACTGTCGAGATTGCTCTGGTATAGCGGAGAATTCGCCTGACCCGAGAACGACTCGACAGTCAAGGTCTTCCGGCGAGTGTGCGGCGAATAGAACTCACAAAGTTCGTCTGTAGCGAAACGAACAAGCTTTGAAAGTCTATGCAATTCGATTCAGTTTTTGTCTTCGTGCTTTGTACGCGGGGAATCGGGAGCTCTCCGAATTTCGTTGCATGAAGACCCTAAATTATTATATTCATTAAATCTCCAGCGCCTCTATGAATCTCTCTTTCCATCGACGGGGCGAACACTCACGTGTCTAAGTAGAGCTCGGTGCCGCACCAACCCTTCCTCCAGGAGAGCCCATTCCGACCGATTGATTTTGTCGTCACACATTCCACCGAGTCCGAGAAATTTTGGAACCGCTCGAGAAACTAAGAAACTTCACGGCGTCATGAACCCACGTTGCGAGCATTTATCCTCGATGAGCTCTCGACGCTCTATGAGAGTCGGTAGCCGGTGGAAAACACTCTTCTGGTCATTGAGAGAGAACGACGAGGCCACGCATATAATCGACGTAATAACGCTACGGACACAGTGTCTTCCGATGGCCCCATCGTCTTAGATTTTACGGTCTGTTTTTCCTTTGTTTCCGTTTTTTTCTCCGCAATGCGAACGGTTGTAACGACATCGCTGCGATAGCAACGATGCAGTTGAACGGAGGTACATACATATAAACCCGTCCATGAGGTCGCCGGATTTTTCTCGAATTTCGGCCTGGTAATATTCCGGGACTTTGCACTCCTTCTCGAAAGAGAGGTCAGCAGCATCCTAGATGCTTGAGTAGAGAGTACCGTCGATGTCACAATGGACAGTTTTCGAAGTCGGCCACCGTCTTTTCTAATCAGAGTTCGTCATCGCATTCATTCGTCGAACTTTCTCATTTCGAATGTATAAGCCGAGCCCAGCTTCGGAAGTGCAGTTTCGGGAATCACACCGACGAGACCAAGAGCTGGTGGAGAACAGTTCGATACCTCTGGAGAGAAAGTGGCGCATCGTTGCGGCCACATTCCATTTCGTCCTCTGCAGAACCACTCGATAATCACGGCGTGCCACATATATATTTACTGTATGCTGTGATAGGAGCAATGGAATAGAACACGTGGAAGGTTGGCGTCGAGCACACGGTTTCCCCGAGCCCGAACCGAGAGGTTAGTGACCTACTTAGAGCGCGCACTGCTCTTCTGTGTGATGGCCGAGCTCAGAGTTGCCCGATACTTCAATCAGATAATTTCGAAACAACATTTCGGTTGGGGATTTTTCGTCGTTCCGGTAACGAACTACAAATGTGTGTTCTACTGAGCTCTTTTCCCGGAAGGCGGTGCATGAAGAGACCGCTGTCGTCGGGTCGGTCATGGGAGCTTGATAGGAAAACAAACACGGCATCCGATGCTTCGAGCGTCATCAGTCATCAGTAATCAGTAGGTACATACAACGTCAAGCAAGAGGTCGTACTGCCCGACCCAAGATGGAAAATTTCTGCTCAGCATTATCTATAGCTCCAGCGGGAAAAAGTGGTTGACACGATCTAGACGAGCCCATCTGTTACACTCCCGACCATTGCGAAGCGGCGGTGGTCTCGAGATGAGCGCATGCTCCACAGAAACCATGTGAATCGCTGATCAGTTCCTTGAACATGTTTTTTCTGTACGAGACGAAAATGTCCCCGGAGATCGAGGACTTCGATCCGTCAAGGATGCCTTCGGAGCCCCAGAATTGAGCGGGCCTTTCCGAGAGAAAATCGCGCGTAGCCCCCGTGGCACGACAATCAGCATGTCCATTCATAAGCATCTTGGGGTAGACTGCTACGTCGGAGGTAGTGTTCAGCGATTCTGTGAACTCAATTCCTGATTGAGATTAGTGCGATCTGATCCCGGGTCAGCCAGTCAGAGATGACTGAGTCCCTGCGAGAGTGTGCCGTCATAAGTTCCAACTGCCGACACCAAAACACATGAATATTCAATCGACCAAGGGCTGAAGCAGAAGTAAGCATCGCTTTCCACATGGCGATATCCCTTCCAAGTGAGGGCCTCGCGGACTTAGACTCGAGTGGGAATCCGCGCTCCACGGAGTAGATTCCGTCCTCTCTTTCATCGACTCTATAACGTAGACAGATCGTGTTTCTTTCCTTGGCCTGTCTTATTGGTGAACTAGTGCGCAGTCGTGTCTGCGGGGAGTCTATGGCGAGGAGACGTCTAGTATTCTTTCGTTCCATGACCGACAGCGTAAATCTTGGCCTTGGCTTAGTCTCGCCGTTGGTTGTTCGATGCATCTGGTGCAGACCAATGGAACGTGTCCTCGCTCAATGGTCGAGGCTTATAGAGGACAAAAGTTCGAAAGCTCCTTCCATCTAGGCACACATCGCAATGCTCATGGGAGAGTGTACACGCCAGAGCGGCGAGTGGGAAGAATCATCGAGAGACTCAGTGCGCGCACCCTGTCACATGCTCGGAAGTCGTCGACATCCCTGCTGAGCTACACGAGGCTCTTCATTTGACGTCGTTTTTGGAAATTTTGCGATTTCCACTATCCAAGAGCATTCGTGGATTAATTATCGAAGTCGGAGCCCATCCGGGGAATGAGAGGGAGGAGCGACTGGTCGGAATCGACGAAAGTGAAGTAATTCATGTGAGCGGACCGAACTACCAGATGCATTTTAATAATTCGAGTTCAACCGCGAATTCATATCTATATATGTTATATACATTATGCATCAATATACATTATATATGTATATCTAACATCGCGTCACTAGATATGATGACCATCCGGTCTCTGTTTTCTTGGTTTCAGATAAGTCTTGAACCCTGCTAAAGGACCTTGTGTCCGTCGATGCTCGTATACGCAGTGCATATCCCTCGTTTCGTGTCTTCCTATAATCCGTGAAGTGGTGAGCACAGGATAATTCCAAGCGATCAATTTATCGGTATCTAACTCGGATGAAGTATTTCTGAAGAGCGATCGTATTCGACGTGATCTAAAACCCCTCGCGTCGCCGTAGACATCAATATCAACAACAAACTTGAGCTTATCAATGCGCGGCGCTAAAGAATTATCTCCCCTCTCTTTGTTGCATTGACAGGGAATCCCGTCTCCCGTTGAATGGAACATGTTTCCTCCGGCGCGATATGCTGCCTTCAGTCAGGACAGTGTCAGCGACTCCACTTCCCCGCAAGTTTATCGGGTAGTTTCTCCCGTCTTCACTTAGCTTGTTTTTCAGCTGACGAGTCCGCCCGGAATATCGTGGCGCACGATGAGTCTTATCTGCAGCCGCCTCATGTTTTCATCCGGATGTTTGTTGTCACGCCCGCGATCGGAGCGAAAATAGCTAGTTCATCAAAAATCCACAAGTCTTTGAATGGCTTCGAGGAATCGAGGTCACGCGTGACATCAACCCGACAGAACCAACAGATGGAAAGCAGCGACCTTTGCAGGGCGCGTCTCCGACAATGGACGCTTAATTACGCGAACAGCAAACACGCGCCGGATGGAACACGTGGAAGCTGCAGCTCTTTTCCCAGGAAATTGCTCACTCTATTGGATAGCATTGGATTTGTACTGCTATTGCGACTCGTCAACCTTGACTTCGATAGACGTCGCACCTACTACGGCCTCGGCCTTCGCATTTTCGAGGCTTCTTACAAGTTGTTCCCAACACCTAAGCCGTAATGAAACACTTAAGTCGATGCGGAGCGTCACGCGGAATGCATTTGTTGGGTTCAACGGGTGGTCCGCTCTTTTCTCCCCGGAAGGCTCCCCAATGTTTCTGGCATGGCTCGCTCCGTAGCGCGTTGGGTGGGATTTTGTGGCCCCACACTTAATGGACAAGCAAGGCTCAGTCGTATATTGCTTCAGACATCGGTGCATAGAACCGCAGAATCTCACTTGCAATTAGCGTGCCTCCGGCTGTTCCGGGAAGCTAACGGGAATCGTCTGACCAAAACCTGCGGGCTCATCCCAACGCTCCCAGTGGATCCAGGCTCGGAGCCCGCGGAGGATTCCGAGTGCAACGAAGTTTCTGCTTCTATGTTCTAGAACCGTCCCCTAGGGGATTATTGTGGAAGCAGTTCGTAGGATGATTTTTCCCTTGTCAAACTTTCCTAGAACAATCGCAGAGCGGAAGTGGGGAAACTCTCAAGAACCGGAGGACTGTCAAATCGTCCGGTAGAGGTGCTCTAAAAACCCAGGCCGAAAGAGCTAATAGTGGAAGTTCTCAGGGCTTAAACTCCAATACGTCAAATGGAATCCGGGTCACGTTCTGGATTAGCGCAAATTCCATCACTCGAGATGTCTCGGGGGGTTGACAACCTTGCGAAAGTCTCTGGTCACATCGAGTCCGCTCGAGGAGCACTAAACATCACTCGGACTTCCACCTAATCCGAGATGAGTTCCTCCCGCGAACTAGCCACTTGTCAGAAGGCGGAGAGGATTCGGTCTGTCAGTAAAGAAGATCTGTCCCCACGGTTCTAGTCATCGCCGCCATACTCCGGCGCTTCACGAAAATTCCCTATTCCACGCTCCACCGGCGCGCTTGATTCCGCAAGAGGCATTGTCGCTCCACTACTACTCGCGGCTGTTTCTTGCATGAATTACTTGCGAACTCTCTGGACTTGTTCCGCACTGGAAATTCGAGATACCCAGTGAGCGAATCGAAATGCTTGATCTGCTCGTTCCAAGAACCTC